GGCGGCGTTAAACAACAAACATGCACACGCACACGCACACGCACACGCACACGCACACATGACCATACACACAGAGTACATTATGCCACCGCCATATGGCTGGAATATTGGTGAGTGCGGCGTTTGACAACAAACAGAGACACAGAGTACATACTGCCGCCTTATATAGCTTGAATGTTGCTCAGTGCAGCGTAAAACAACAAAAAAAACAACACAGAGTACATCTTGCTATCATGCCTTTAATAAGAGTGTTTTACAATGGGGATCGGGAGGCCAGTCCCTGCGACTTGGGACCCGTGAAGATCCGGGGTAGAATAGGTCTTCAGCAACCCATGCTTGCTGTAAAAGGTGACTATGCTTGTCGTAGGTGGCGAGTAACGGGCTCGATGGTTAGGCTCGATGACTTGGTTGATGCATGTCATCGATCCCAATTGCGTGGATCGATGCTCCTTATATCAATCACTGGATTGTCTGGTCCAGATTCGATTATTTATAGACCGCCGTCATATACATGTAGCTGCAATATTGCTGAGTGCGGCGTAAAACAACCAACCAACCAACGAAACAGAAATAATTCCTTTCAGCATGATTAGAATAACTTGGATGTGAGACAAAATGTCAGACTGTCCCTCCGGTTTATGTTTTGGTTTGTTGTTTTACGCCACAATCAGCAATATTCCAGCCTTATGACGGCGGTCTGTAAAATAACCGAGTCTGGAGCAGACAATCCAGTGATTTACATAAGTCATCATTTTGGGAATGCGTCGTCTACAACTATTGGCCTGCTTCAACTAATAGAACTAAGCGAAACATAGCCTATATGTTCAGTGTCTCAGTCTATAATTTGAGACTTTGGAACAGGTTTCGGGGTCCAAAAAATGTTAATGATAGGTCCAATTGTGCTCATTTGACACGTTTGATGTAATCCGTTCAATTAGAGGGAGTAACTCAAGTCTGCCGTTCAGTGACTCTTTACGGTATATTGCCATACAAGAGACAGCCTTTTTTAGATTCGTCGGGATACGAAGGGGGGCTTGGGTTTTATCGAAAAAAAAGAATTGTCTCTGGAATGGCTTGAAAATAATAATTATGCTTCAGACTGTTGAATAAAAGAGAGATTGTCTACACCCAAAATGCATTGTTGCAAGATCTTTGTTTTTTTAAATTAGATTGGTTTGTTGTTCAACGCCGCACTCAGCTATGATCCAGCAATATGATGGCAGTCTGTAAATAATCGAGTCTGGACCACATAGGGCCTGTATCGCTCACCTGGATATTTACGCAACCATGACAAAATATACATTTGCATTGTACATGTATATAATACAGCAAATAGTTCGTAATTTTGACTATGTCAGCATTTAAAATGGGTGGATAGCAAATCGGACAGCATGAACGTGTATATCTCTACATACAAATGTAGCATAAACATCTGAACAGTTTCCATGTTATGATCCAGGATAAATCATATCAAAGGTATTACTCTCTTCATAACAGACAAATGTATACAACGTACCTGTTTACCAAACGACAACCTGACAATGTGCTCATTGTGAATCAATTAAAAATATCCAAAGAAATCAGTCAATCATACGATTCTTATGAATCACTATCACTACTGATAAGGTAAATATATTACAGTCATTGGTCCAGAAACATGTGAATACACAGATGTACGTTAATGCGTTGATCCTTTGAGCATTTAACCGGTTCTTGATATCGTAATTTGCATAAATTATTGTTTCTTAATGATATTCTTGTACATTTTTAATATGGTAATAACAATACGTATTATCATTTGTGCGATATATGATCATGGACAAAATGTTTTGGAAAGCTGTTATTGTGCTTATCAAGGAGGCAGATCATAGATGATAAAGTCAGAAGCATAAGAACATTACGGTGATGGCATTTGTATCCGAGGAAGTGTTGAATATTACATGTTTATTATCATTATTGACGACAATTACGTGACAATTCGGGTTTTATGCTGGAAACACGTGCACTGATACACGTAATTGAAAGTGTTTAATAATGGTGGATATATATTAATATAGCAAAAATTGGTATTTAAAGAGATCAAGTTGCAAATGTCAATGTGTTTATGAATATTGGCAGCTAATATGCTTTAGGTATAAATTAAGTACTGAATGAATGCAAGTCGATACCCCGTACAAAGTTATGTTCTGTTTTAAGTATTAGATGAGAATGGAAAATTCAATTGGGCATCGTATGTGAGACTAATGTTATTTTATAGCGGTTTTGCGTATGTGTGGTTATTCCAAGATGTTGGTGATAAGAACATGTTTTGTCTGCATTTAGAAGACGTTTAATATATATCTATTTTCAATCATGGTTCCACAGTTCCGTGTCGTCTACGTTTTAGTGCATCATGTTGATATAAAATCTCTTCGAATCATACACAACAGTACTCAGCCAGAAACGATTAGTTAGTGCAATGTGGACATTTCGTATATCTCTTTCGAGTCAACATTATTCGTAACATGTCATTGTTAAATATACCTCATACAGAATATATATGTATAGAATGTGACCTTCATGTAGTAGGGGACGAATACCATGCATTTTTTATATGTAAGAAATATATTAACCTTCTGACATTATTGTACTACGCTTGATAGCTTATATTTGTGTAAATTATTTACAATAATATCGTCAAGATGTAACTCTCTGGACATGTGGCCTAAAGTGTAATTTATCTAACACCTGCACTATGGGCCATATGGCCTGTACTACGAAATAAACTTAATTGATTGATTGGACAAGGTGTATATATTGCAGGGCGATTTGCTGATTGCTAGGACGTAACTAGGATTATCTTGTTTTTTCAACGCCATATCCATGCCTTACTATTCCTCCAACATTAAGCTGACTCGAAGTGGTGTAATTGAGGTAATGTTCAAAGCGTCTTTAAACCCACCTCACTCACTCTAGTATGTAATACGTCTACAGAAATATACTTAAGGAGAGGAACACTTTCAAATAAAAGTCAAAACAAGCCTCCCAAAAGACTAAAACAAATAATGAAATAGAACGATAACCCATTACATTGACTTCCTATTCATATTTGCTATCAAATTCATGTCCTCATAAACATTAGTTATAGACACGGTTTAAGACCTGACCTCGTGAATACGAGAACCAAAGCTGCCAGGTAAATAATAAATGCAGTTAATGTTCAATCACTGTGAAACAAAATGCGTTTTGTTTTCTTTTCATATTTTAGTTATTAAAGCAGTTTCTGTAATAGAGTAGTAATAACTACGGACCATGTAAACTTTGCTTCTAATTCCCATCGATCTCATTCAACATCTATGCGTTGTAATCAACACATTTTGTGAAGGCAGCAATGCAACAAAAAGAACCAAAAGTGGGGAAGTAATACAAACCCAAGTGCAGTTAGAGGCCAATCAACTACTTTGAGTTGTATACTATTCGACCTCCGTCAAAACCGTTGAAAAAAAGGCGTTTAAAGACCTAACCGAAAGTGTCATTATGTCCTTGTGTAAGCAATTAAAGTATTTGTCCTGAAGGAGGAAAATGATTTTAAAAACTTGTATTTAATCTCATTAAACTAGTATAGTTTGCTGACACTTATGATATTATTATATATAATTGACAGCAAAGCTTATTTCGTTTTAAGCGACAGTTGCACCTAAGGTTGAAACCGAAATTAGCTTTGCAGTCAATTATATATAATAATATCATAGATGTCAGCAAACTATACTAGTTTAATGAGATTAAATAAAAGTTTTTAAAATCATTTTCCTCCTTCAGGACAAATACTTTAGTTGCTTACACAAGGACATATGGCACTTTCGGTTAACAAGACTTAAACATTTCTGTATAATACATGCATGTGTAAGTTACTTGCACTATACTTGATGACGCGTGAAGTTCCGGGGTAGAATGGAACTACAGCAACCCATGCTTGCCGTAAAAGGTGACTGTGCGTATCGTAAGAGGCGACTGACGGGATCGGGTGGTCAGGTTCGCTGACTCGGTTGATGCATGTCATCGTATCCAGGCCCGTGAAGATCTGGCGTAGAATAGGTCTTCAGCAACCAATGCTTGCCGTAAAAGGCGATTATGATTGTCGTAAGAGGCGACTAACGTGATCTGGTGGTCAGGCTCGCTGACTTTGGTTGATGCATGTCATCGATCCCAATTGCGTGGATCGATGATCATGTTGTCAATCACTGGATTGTCTAGTCCAGACTCCATTATTTACAGACCACCGCCATATAGCTGTAATGTTGCTGATTGCGGCGTTAAACAACAAACAAACAAATACCATAATTGATATAACTTAAACACTGTTTTGATCGAGGAGTCGCATTCGCACTTTTTGTTGTCACGAAATGCATGCTTCAACATGACCGAGTGTGTTCATTATCAATAATAATTTGTCACAAGTGTGCGTGGTCGGCTCGTAGTAAGCATACTGTGGATGGGTAGGGTATTCATATTAAACATATTCTTCCATCTCTAAATAATATCCCATTTTACTGTAAAAGCCTTTAACCCAGTGTCTTCGTGTGTCCATGACGTCATGTGAAATTGATTGCAAAGTGTGAATGACTTTCGTTAACATTATAAGTCAATTAAGCTGAATTGGTTTCTCTGACTCTTGTGGTCGCTACATACATAGGGCGACTGTTATTCTAAATACTCGGTTCAACAGGGGATCGTACGTCGGAATGGTTGAAAGTTAGTAGAAGCCCCAAGAGGATAAAGTGTCAGGTAAACTATAAATGTTAATGTCCCAGCTGCCCATAAAAATATATTTAGAAAACGCTAGCACCCTGACAAAAGGGAATTTTATACCGCAGCTTCACTGGGACTAGTTTCAATAATGTATTCACTACTTGTAAAAGGTGATATTGTATCAGTCAACAGATCAAATAAAATAAAATGATAACATCGGTTCTCGGCAAATAAGAAACACATACTCAGACACTAGTATTCCACGCTACGAAATGGATGTTGTAGGATCGGTGTTACTATTGCTTAAGTTGAGCACGGCCGTGGGGGTCAAGGTGTACATGTTTAAAGAACAGCTACAGTGTAGGGACACCGTGTCAGACTACCGACGTCTTCATGTTTGGAAAGGCCTGGAAATATTGCATTGTTTGAGAACATGCTTAGATGGTCAGTTCTGTTTGTCTGCGTACTTTGAACGTGAGAATGTGACGTGTATTACGAATGGGTTTGCACTTCCTGATGGAGAAAGCACTGATGTCACGACGTATGCCCCTGGATTCAGTCTATTCACGCTGACAGGCAATGGTATAGTTCTCTACTTTTACTAAAATACTAATGAAAATGTCTCCGTACATCGTAAGTACGTCACAGGTTTGTATACACTACGTTCTTCCATCACCCGTCAGTTAACTGGGAGGCAAATGGAGCTATACCTCTCAGCTGATCACATGTTTAATTTTCAGTTGAAAATGTCTTATATTTGCGATATATTAGAAAAGATGAACTGTACTAACGCTTAGTAAAACAAAATAGTACACCGTGGTTTTATTTTATATAATAACATTTGATTAAAACCTTTCATACTTATATTATTTGGCATAATACAAAACTTCTCATTGGTATCTCAGACATTTTATCTTTGAAAATCAATTTATTTACGCTTAGGGAAAAATTTACAACATTTCAAACATGGTAGGGGGTCATGTGGTTGCAAATTAATTTCTCACTGTATTGAACCAATATCTTTTTGCAATAAATTACCCTGCCACAAATAACTTTTTGCAAACTGTTGCAGGAATGAGTTATGGTTAAATGGACATAATCACATTCAACAACATTTATCTTTTAATTTTTCATATAAAAACAGAACAACTCAGTAGAGTATATCTTGCCCCTCAGTTTACATACAGCTTTGTGGTGTACTAGTCAATATCTTGAGAATTTGGTATTAATGCTATATTACAGGATGCACAAGACCCGTGAAGATCCGGGGTAGAATAGGTCTTCAGCAACCCATGCTTGCCGTAAAAAGCGACTATACTTGTCGTCAGAGGCGACTAACGGGATCGGGTTGTCAGGCTCGCTGACTTGGTTGATGCATGTCATCGAATTCCAATTGCGTGGATCGATGCTCATGACATCAATCGCTGGATTGTCTGGTCCAGACTCGATTATTTACAGACCGCCGTCATATAGCTGGAATATTGCTGAGTGCGGTGTAAAACAACAAACAAACAAATGCACGATGAATATTGTTGACGTAATCGAGTCATCGCTAGACCTAGGTCTTGGCTTGAGTCGTTGCCTTAAAATAGCACCTACACGGCGTGGATTCATGGATGAACGTTGCTTTTACACATCCCTAGATATTGACGCTGGTTTCCATTTTACGTCTCTCTACTTTCTCCCAGTATTACTCACAGAATGTCCGGAGAACAAGGTTCGAATCCTGGTTCACGCCCCGATTATGTATTTAGGTTTTCAGTACTACAACCGAACAATTTATTTCCAGTTCTATTTGTTAATAATATTTGCTTATTCGAACAATTCTCATAAGGTTAAGAGTACTCAACAATGAAAATGCTGATAAAAGGATTCGCGTTTGTTCGAGACATCATTATCAGCATTCAACTTCGGTGCCAGGGTTGCCAATAATGACTGGGTTGTTTTTTTAATCATTTTTTTTTTAACCATAAGTTTGAAGTATTATCAATGCAACAGAACGAAGCTTTGCTTCATTGCTTTTAACTTCTTATGTAGAACGTAAGAACTGTTCGAGCAAGGACAATGTCGACGTCACGGTAATAGAGCTCATTAAAGTGTGTATATTCTGAAATAGGCATTGACGTACTTATCACCAAATTTTGCGTGTAACGTCTCAATGATTAGTTCCTGGCTTTAAATTGATTTGGTGAAGATTTGTAAGACATCAAGGTCTGAATGCAAAGGAGGTGTTTTTTTTCCGTTTTGGCATGTTATGTTAACAATCTTATAACGACTGATACATTTTCTATACTTTACTATACTTTTTTGCCACATTGGTGTTTCTATGTGTAATTGTTGATCAACATTGACAGCCTTTTTCGTTTAGTTTTGTGAAACGATTGGTGAAATATTTTGGAAATTTTATAACACCTTAGAAGATACAACAGACTCAGAATTTACTAAGGACATTTATGTGTTCTTTATTGCGACAATTTTCATGTTTAAATTAAACTTACTTGTATCATACTCACAGCAACTGCAAAGTGGCTGTTTCTTTTGCCGTACGCGGCACGGTGACGGTAACATAAATAGGTAACACCATAGAAAATCTCTGCTATAAGACAAAGACACCTGAAAGACGATGTAAAACTGGCTTAATCTAAAATGGGTTCATCCTTGTTACGTAATATGTATTGGCATTTAAGTTGTGTTCCCTTTTTGTCTTGATTATTTTAAGAAATATGTTTTTGCACGAATGTAACATTCTCTTGTATGGTGTGGTTGTGTACCCATGTACCAAGGCACACGAATGTTCGACGTGTTGGGTATTTTAGCATGCATTGACATCACAATATTGTATTTTCTAATGCAATCCTGCAGGTGGGTAACTTCGATCAGATAAGATCCTAGGGGTTTCAAACTGCATTATACATCCGCGATCGATATGGCATGAAAGCCGTGGTCGATGAAAATGACTAAGGGGATGTGCTGAACGTCTCTTCTGCAGTCGATTTTCTACATTCAATGGACCATTGTAGAAGGTTAACCACTGCTACCAGCGATGGCGATTTCGCTCTGAGGTTTCATTTTGAGCTCATCTGACTGAAAGTAATGTCATGGCGCGTTGTCCATCGTTACATTGTACATTTATTTCATTTCCCCTGTTACTACAAGACCAATGGAGCTGATACTTGCTACGAATGATCCCAACTTTGGTGTCTCCAAAAAGCTGCTCACAAAGTTCAGATCCGACCTTTCACATGGAAATGCCATGCAGGAAGTGTGTGACGTGCTGCATAACATATCACACGTGTTTTGCTGCATATTTTGATGTTTTACCCAAACACGACTTTTGATTCACATTGCCCCATTTTTCTTGTGTTACTGCATGTTCAAAACTACAACTGTTATGAATGACTCCACCTAGGCCGTCTCCAAACATTGCACACAAAATTCCAATCAATTAAATAATTACATAATTACATTACTGTATGTCAATACAGTTTCAAACAGCTTGAGTTATAACCCCCTCCTCCTAAGGATTAGACACTTTCACGTATGAGTCACTATAAAACCACTTACACAGAAGGTGTAGATTGTCAGTATTTGGGAACAGGTGGGAGGCTTTTGAGTGACCCGTAAATCTTGCTTATTATGTCATTCTGCAGTGGTCAACTACCCATCCACATGTTCTGAAGTTAAGACTCAGCTGAACGTGACCTCCGACGGGGAGTATTGGCTGTACCCTAGGTCCTCCACCATGTACAACAACAGAGCCAGAGTCTACTGCCGCGGCATGAACACCACCACTCCGACCGAGTACGTGTCCCTAGCCACTGTCAATGTCGGTGTATACCCACGCAAACAGAACCGATGGTGCAGAGGGGAAAGCAATAGTGTTACAGGAGCTGGGAGACCTGGAATAACACGATTCTACAAAATCCGTATTAGACCAGAGGTAAACAATGTTCATGGTGCTTTTTTATACATGGTGTTAAGTCCAGGGTATCTCAAGGGACTGATAATGTTATTGATTCCTTGTGGCTTGAATGCTTACTCACGCTATCGCTATGACTCGCCAAGCGTGAATAGAGACTCTTACCCGAGTGTCTTTTGATATCAAAGACGTTAAATCGAATCGATATATACTTAAAATCAAAAGACAATGGTAACATTCTATGTATCATCCAAAATCATTCTGCCAACATGTTTAGCTTGTAACAGTAATAACAAATGCCAGGGGTGTTCAGAGTAAAGCTATCCAGCTTCAGGAAGTGGCAGAGAGATGTCGTTTCATTGTGACGCCATAGTACCAATGATGTCACAATGGCCTTAGACTAATATCTAGTCTCTGAAATGAACATATCGTACAGAAAAAACAGGTGCTCAGTTATCTTAATAAAAATATAATAAAAAGGGAGCCCAGTTATTCTCTTCATTTTCAGATAAGTAATCTAGACTTGCCAAACATTAGACTTGCATGGGCTGTATTTGATTTATATTTGTATCAGGGTCTGTAAGACAGACTACAATGGCCTGCACTCACTCACTCAAGCTATCAGTGTTTCTTATCATGTAAACAAGTTATTACTAGTATTTAAAAACGTTGTCAGATATCAGAACACATTCAACATCATCTTTGTACCTAAACAAGGGTGTTAGGATACAACTTTTCTTAGTCTGTACATTACTATCCCAGACGATGACAGTGGTTCTAGACGACTTCACCTTCGCAACATGGGAAGAAAACCGTCATGGTTACGCAGGAGCCATGGACTGCTACAACAACTACTACGGTTCGGCTCCTTGTGGGCCTGTCGGGACGTTCAGAGTGGACACACGAGGGACTGGCCTGGTCGTCGACCTCAATGTGAGCTTACATTTAGCAATTGACGTATTGTTGTGAGCCCTGGTTATTCCAGAACGTAATAGTTCCCAATACCTAATTGTAATCTTTGAGATATACACTCAAACATGCTCTTTTTACGAATATTTAAAGTTTCATTCGATTGTTGCTTAAAAAACGTTGTTTGTTTAATTGTTTTATTATTAATTATACTGTGAAGATACTAATCCTTTATATTGTGGGGATTCTGGGATAGAGTAGGTCCTCAGTAACCTTTATTTCGTTAGAGGCGATTCAAACGGATCCCTCATCCTTCTTGTCAAACGCACCTGCATTCTCGTGCCACCAAAAGTTTTTAAACTCACATCATTTAAATGACTTCTATCACAGGCAAAATGGAAAGGGTTCGACTGGCGTCCATACACCAGTGTGACACGCTCGGAAGGGGGCGCCGTGATCGACCTACTGTGTGGAGGATGGTGTGGAGGCTGTGTACCGGCCCAGGGTCTCCGTCTCTACTACAACCACAACGACCGTGAGTACTCCATAACCAGGTCGGGTGTAACTTAAACAACAGCATGTGTCATGAGTAGTGTGTTGTTTTATACCCGTGGTTATACTGTCCGTGGCACGAGTTGTTTATCGTGGTGCTGTTTATTATCAATTGTTATACTGTCCGTGGCACGAGTTGTTTATTGTGGTGCTGTTTATTATCAATGGTTGTACTGTAAGTGGCACGAGTTATTTATCGTGGTGCTGTTTATTATCAATGGTTGTACTGTAAGTGGCACGAGTTGTTTTTCGTGGTGCTGTTTATTATCAATGGTTGTACTGTAAGTGGTACGAGTTATTTAACCTTAACATGGTGCCATTCGTTTCATGCCATCACAAATATCTCACTGTATATGTACAATGTTTAATTTCAGTGCTTGTTGACGGAAACGCTGTACCCACGGAGTTTGGCATCTACTGAAGATCGGCCGATATATTGAAGCAGAATATCATGAATATCACGGATAACAACTTCTTTATTGTCTCACCTGATGAACGGACAAGAAGTATCCCTGAAATGTTCTGCATATATAAAATAAAGGTTTACATATTTCTTGTCCATCCATTCCTTGTCCATCCAAATATTCCATATATGTAGATTAAACCTAGAAATCGTTAAGCAGATAACTAAATTGTGAAATCTGTAAATAACCACACACGATCAATTAGGAGATAAACATACTGTGTTTTCAATGTAGAGCTACGTTACCTGTAGATTTAACCCCGCTAAATTGAATTTGGAACCGAACGCGCGAAAATGCACAAAATGTATTGTCACACATCCTTTGAATATTGTAGTAACAGCATCTGTGCATTTTGTAACCTGTAATTGTAGATATAATGATTTAAATATGCCTACCGACACTGACTGAAAATGGTACTATTCTATGAATATTAGCTTCCGCGGTGATGCGGCCGTCAAACCAGCTGTTTCAATCAGAGGGGGTTCATTGTGATTTAACCAATCAGAATCGAATAAATTCCAAATTCATTGTAGAATGAATAATTTACAAATTATATTGACACACGCAGGATTAGGTTTAAAATCGAAAAGTGTCAATCATGCAGCAGCAGCAATATATATCAGGCCTATGACACACGTCAGTGCAGTCAGGAATGTCGAGAATGTGTTACATCTGAAAGTATAGATTGAGGCACGTGCTTCATCCTTGAATCCAGGAAACAGTTTCGATGGGAGTCTGACAGGTTGCTGGGGAAGCAGGTAAGTCGCAGGCCGGGTCGTGGAAGGACTCGAATGTTATATAGGTAATGGGGTCAGTCAAGTAGCCTTGTGGTTAAAGCGTTCGCTCGTCACGCCGAAGACCCGGGTTCGATTCCCGACATTGGTACAATGTGTGAAGCCCATTTCTGGTGTCCCCCGCCGTGATATTGCTGGAATATTGCTAAAAGCGGCGTAAAACAATACTCACTCACAATATAGGTAATGTCAGCTTTCCAGAAACTGTAACCTCGATTACGGTTAGAACAATGTAGTCTATGCCAGTGACAATATACAAAGGCGGATAACTCTCAAGTGATGTGATTGTCGCATACCGAGAATAACAACAATCTAGAAACACCAACACTTGACATTTTACGTGGGTTTCAAATAGTTGCTACTAAATCACCAAAAACAAACTTGCACTATATACTGCCTCATAACACAAGAAATATTACTACATATTGTATGGTGATCACTAAATACGTATATGCACACTTCGACTGCACTTGGATCAGGTAAAGGTACTTAGGTGTCCATTTCCGAGTTTGATACTTTCAAATAATGCGAGAAAGTCAGCCATGTAGGACATAAGTCTACTGTGTTTTGAAATTTGATTCAGTTCCACTCTCCCTCTTATTTTAATTTGGAAATCTGCGTATAAATAAGAGGTATTTACTCTACAGTGGGACTACATCAAATTTCAAAACACTGTAGGTATGTCCATTCTACCATGACGGCAACAACGCTTTGAAAACAGTGCTCTCTTGCAACGCGTTACAACACAGGGTTCAATCAAGGGTCCGCAATCTTAGAACATTCCGAAAAATGGTCACAGGTAGTTATATATTTAACAAATATTACTATAGTTCATGATTAAAAACACCATAGTTTTAAGTAGTTCAAAACACATAGTTTTTCAAAATGAAGTTGACAAAAAAACCTCCAGATATTTAAATTTCTACCAATCAGCAAGGTCTTTTCTTTGACATAGAACATGCCATTTCCATTGTAGGGGTGACAGGTTGCAGAAAAAGGTTTTAAAATGCTAAACGAATATATTGCTACAACAAACTTTATGAATTACTATTTATTTTGCATGTGTAAGTCTTATTCGTTAATTAGCAATAATCCCCAGTAAATGTTAATAATTCAAAATAAACGCCTCTGCATCCCCATCTTGGATGTGGCAGGACTTGACCTACATCACAGTTACTCACACTTCAAAGCTGTCAACATGGCTGCCAATGTTTACATTGTCCGTGCCTCAGCAGACAGGCTACGAAGCAAGATGACAGCCCCGATCTATGATGTGGTGCAACATTAACCGGGGGCACGGGTGGCCCAGTCGTCTAAGGCGCCGCGATTCGCTGTGCAGAGTTGCGTCCCATGGGCACGCCAGAAACCTATGATTGTGGGTTCGAATCCCGGTTCGCCCCGATTATGTTTCTAGGTTTGTTAGCACCATACCCGTGCTCGTAGGTTTCATCGAAGTGGTAAACGTCTGAGACCTGCAACACTTGGGGCTTTCCTCCCACATTAAGCTGACACGCCGTGATATAACTGGAATACTGTTATAAGCGGCGTTAAACCCAACTCACTCACTCACTCATTCAGAGACACAAGTGCGTAATACGTTGTGAAGAATAGTTCTTGAAAATTGTTCAGAAACTGTTGTTGATTATCACCATTCCACTGTGAACTGTCATGGTTTACATGGGTCACGGCAGAACTATTGTGATCTGTTGTATCCAAGGTTATGTTTTTTGTTTATTTGAATGAAAAAGAACAATGGGAAATGATGAATCCCAAAATCAGTAAAGTCGACAAAGGACAGCAAAAGCACTAGATTATCACAGATATACATTTAAAACTGGTATGTAACCATAACAATGTGACTATTCATAACTATAGTTCGTAAAAGAATGGCTATAGATCACCAGCAACCAAAGTTAGCCACCATATTAGGGTACATGGGGACTTACGGTACATCTGCTGAGTGAGGTGGGGTGAAATGGGGTTTAACGTCGCGTCCAAGATTATTGCACTTATATAGCGACGTGTGTGTGTGTGTGTGTGTGTGTGGCTGCTTGTACTAGTCCGGACTGATACCGATTTATAGTGCTAGCTCACTGAGATACCACACCGCAGTTTAACATGAATACCCCACTCAGACACAGTATACTGACTCCGAGCCGACCAGTCTTTGTTTTAGCCCCTTAATGCCGAGCGCCAGGCAGGGTAACAACAAGTCACATCTTTTAACGTCTTTTGGTATGACGCCGCCGGGGATCGAACCCCGGACCTTCCGCTCTCCGGGCGGACGCTCTACCACTAGACCACGGAGGCGATCCCTAAGCAAGAATGTAATCTACTACATTTTGCCCATTGTGGGTAACACAAGTGAACTGACCAGCAGTATCACTGAAGAGCCTGCTATTCAATGTGTGTATGTTATCAGTACAACAAAGGTCTGATAGCTTTAAACCACATTTGTTATGAGTTTTATTATCTTTGGTTGATCTGAGGATATTACAATTATCACTCGGACAATCATCCGAATTGTCAACAGCATATCTACTAATATAATTAATTATGTAATCAAACCAATCTTTCATTCTGGCATTAAAGTCTCCTAGCAAAATTATGTCAGATTCAGAGTAGTCAGCTGTAACAGATGCCAAGTACGCACTTCTGTTCTATCAACATCACTGTTCACATGTGTAGGTAAGTTTTCAGGAGATATATACACGAAAAATACAATTGTCTCAGTTTTCAACCCAAACAATAATGTCTTGAAGTGAAACACAATACGGTTTGGAAATCATCAGATACATTTTATAAATGTCTCGTGTAATCAAAACTGAGAAATTTATATGATATAAATGTCTCTTGTAATCAAAACAGCCGTCATATAGCTGGAATATTGCTGAGTGCGGCGTTAAACAACAAACAAACAAACTGCAATCAAAACTTTTTTTAATAAATACTGTGATTCCTCCGCAGTATCGACCTAGTCGTTTGCTGTTGTCACGTACGCTGTTGAATGCTCGAAATTCGAACAGAAAGTCCATGAAATCACCTTGTTTCCGGACAAAAGTGTGACATAAACCCTCAATGTCATACTCACTGAGAAAGTTTTTGAATTGCAGATCAGGTGTGTATTTATATAATCCTGAGCAGCCTCGTTAGTTTATTTCTTAGCGAGTGAGTATGGTTTACGCTGCTTTTAGCAATATTCCAGCAATATCACGGCGGAGTTTATTTTTTAAATCTAGCGCTCGGGGTTGGTGTTACTTTCAAGCTGAACTTGTCCTTATAACGCCTAATGTGCATCCCACACCTGTACCAGCATCTACATTGCCGCGCCAGAATACATCTTGATGGCATCACAGTGGCGATGTGGAGGCCAAGTGGTGAAAGACTCCGCCTGTCACGCCAAGGTTCGGGTTCGATTCTCCACATGCCCATTTCTAGTATCTTCGACGTGATATTAGAGGAATATTACTAAACGTGTCTAAAAACCAACTCACGTTCTTATTATAGAGGTGGACCGACCATTATCGTTTACCTGTAATGACAATCGCTGTAGCCTATAGACCTATGCCCACATGCACAAAGCGATCTCAGCGCTATATGATCGTAACTCTCATAGTCTAACATAGACTTAGATACTCATAGCGCTAAGATCGCTTTGTGCAAGTGGACCCAGGTCTACAGGCTACAGCGATTGTCAAGTAAATAACACAGAGATTGTCATCTAAAGACAAAGGAAAAGTATGATAATTATTATTGTCATAAACATTCCATGGACAATGCACATCTTGGTACCTTAAAGATGAGGATGTTTTCGTTTTATACGCATTATCCAAAACCAGCTTAAATTGTCAAAATGTTAATGAGCGAATAAACAGTAAAACCCGACATCCCTGGTATAAACACTTTACCTCGCAGTGGAACAGCAGGGTAGTGGAGTTATTGTCAATGGAGCTTTGTGGAACTGTCGCACACGAGGCTGGTGGATTTAGGAGGAGTGCAATTAACGAGGAACAACGCTGGTTTCCCTCCCACCCCCTCCGATTCCTGTCATTTTACATCGTACACGAATCGTTTATATTTCAATCTTTTCACGGGTCAGCGGACAATTTCTACACCCGTTTTGTACTCATCTCATCCCTATTAGCAAATCTCGTGGACGAACAATTCCGCGCAGACCGTAACTGTCTCCTTAAATCAACCCGCCATACAACACAGTTACCTATGATCGCGTAACGCCTTTTCTTAAGGGTGGCGTAGGGGGTCTTTGGCGTGATGGAACGCTCATTAGAAAGTCGTGAAGGAATTAATGGTGACTAAAGGATTATGTGGCCGTTACTTGCTCCACTGACGTCGTGGTGAGCTTGGAAGCTGTCTGCAGACAGTCGTCAGACAGTATCTGTTCAGCTGCCGACATGGACACACATCGGAGGGAGAGTTTGGTAAGTCAACTGAATATTTATTATTTAAACAATTGTTTACGACGTGAAATTAATAACATTGTGTATAATTATTATAATGGCAGAATAAATTGTGAGAAAATTATGTTTATCTACAGTTGTTAATTAGTTATATAGAATGCCTTACTCGCGTGATCCGTACATGCATATGTGTAGTAAAGCAGTTGTAATTTTTCAAAAGTTAATTAAATGTTAATTAAAACATAATAACTAAAAGTTATATTTGTATTCGTAACAACCATGTACTACTGTATACTTTATATCATTGACGTGTTCTGTTTCGGCAGATATTCTAGACTGCTTATTCTTTTGCATTGGTGATTTATATTATACGTACGAATAAAATCTAACCCGCCATGTTGGGTGACACTGGAAAAACCTTCATCCGGGACATCTCGGCCCCAAGGCTCTGATATAATTTCTAAAGTTTGTCATACTCACAAAGTTGTTGAAATCATTGAGCAAGAGCCAAGTAGAGTGATGACAATTAAAGTTATATTGTTTTCCCATGTTGTACATAGTTAGCGTTGGTGTTGCGTTTTTAAATATTTGAGTATATGTCTATTCAGAGCATACCGCCAGGTATGCTTGAAAGCTAACAGAATGTTATTATTTTATTTTGATATATATTATTGTGTTTTAAACAAGTGTAAAATGCAATATACATTTACATGTTATGCTTTCTTTGAAAACTGACAAAGGTGAAAAGGATAATATTATCCTTTATCATTTAACTTAAGCATTTATCCATGACATAAGCTTATGACATAAAAACATGTATGTCATACCCCAATGACATAAGTATGCAAATTAGATAACCGGAAGAGCGAGCGGTTTGATTTGAAACTATATAATATAAGTGAAGTTACACCATAGATATAATCAGATAACACAGAATCGTTGTTGTTACCGTTATTAAAATTTCAATTATTCTGCAAAAGTCTGTTCAAGTATTTTGTTTAAAATAATCCGAGGAACTTTTTTTCTCAGCGAATTGTTTATTTTGGTTTACATGGCTATGGAAAACATGTATCACTACGCACGATCTATACGTAAGATTTCGACAAGCTGCTGATGGTAATGTTTAATGCAATTATTCCTTAATTTGGAAGCAAAAATGTGAAAATGATAAATAGAATTCATCACTCGTGTTTTTTAATATGGGAAATATCAACCTCGTCCCGTTAATCGGTATTTGCCGAGCCTTTGGCCAAAGGCTCGGCAAATACCGATTAACTAAGACTCAGTTGATATTTCCCATATTAAAAAACACTCGTGATGAATCCTCTATTTATAAAAGAAAGTATAAAATTACAAATTGGATTTGACCAAACATTTACTAGGCGGAATATAACATCACCATCGAAGCATTTCTTGCTTTTTCATTTTTAGCCACCATCATAACAATATGGGTGTAAACTTTCTTTTTATGACATGTATTTGTATGCAACTGGAACATAATTAAGCAGGTTGCAAAATATATTTTCCATAGAAAATAACGTTTTCTAAATCGTATCACGTATTTGCTTTCTGACGAAACACAAATATTTTTGTTGAGAACGTGAATCAAAACAGACAATAAAATGACATGACAACCCTGCGTACATCCGCAGTGTTATACAGTATACCTCGGTGAATCTTTCAACAAGGATCTGTGGTATGGCAGACCTTTATCAAAATGAGGTCAAGGGCACATACAGATATTTTAAAAGATGCATAGAAGGGAATATGTAAAAATAAATAAGTATTTCTGTCCCGTTACAGACACGTAAACACCTGGCAGAGAGACGGAGACGAGCCAAGATAAACTACTACCTGGATGAAATTGAAGCTTTGATTTCGCCCCCAGCCACAAAGGTAAGGTAACGAGAGATGACATTATGTAAACTATAAAAAACATATCAAAGTATACCGGTTTGGTTTGGTTTAGTTTGTTGTTTTACGCCTCACCCAGCAATATTCCAGCTATATTACGGCGGTCTGTAAATAATCGAGTCTGGACCAGACAATCCAGTGATTGACATCATGAACATCGATCCACGCATTTGGGATCGATGACATGCATCAACCAAGTCAGCGAGACTGACAACCCGATCCCGTTAGTCGCCTTTTTCGACAAGCATAGTCGCCTTTTACGACAAGCATAGTCGCCTTTTACTGCAAGCATCGGTTACTGAAGATCTATTCTATTATACTTGCGAGATAACGAGGTTTGAGTATATATTCACGTTAACTCGGCTATGACACATTCGCTATCTCCTGTGCAGTGGAAAGTTTTCAAAACTCTCAGCATGCATGAGGTCATAACGTGATGACTGACAGCGCGCCATTGTTTAATGGTGAAAAGGTTCAAAGTAGATTTCAAACAATCTTGAAATTTAAAAAGTTAGGGCGCCGCAATTAACTGTCGATGTTACGACCCCTAGCCTTGGAGCACTCCAGTCGTCCTTGATGGGTTCGAATCTAATCCCCCCCCCCCCCCCTATTATGATTTACCTGTCTGCTCACGATGCCAATCACCGGATTGTCTGGTCCAGACGCGATTATTTACAGACCTCCGTCATATAGCTGGAATATTGCTGATTGCGGCGTTAAACAATAAAAAAAAACACAAACAAACATGATGCTCATTGGCTCAATTTGTTTGTCCTGTAGAACTTCAGTACCCTTGGAGTATTTTGTAAAAAACATATGGACCAGAATTCCATGGATTTTGAGAAATCACAGTGATGTTGTCGTACAGCATTTGTGTTACACGTAAAAACTCAGCAAAGGATTTCAACGTCCAGTTAATGGTCAATAGCCTGCAGTATTGCCCGGACAGTTTCGACCATTGGTAGTTGCCCCAGGCAAACTGACCAGCGACGCTAACCGCACCCCTCCCGGCCCCCTACCGTCAGCTTACACAACTCCCCACCCCTCTCCTCCCACCCCTGCCCACAACACACTACCCCGACAAAGAACCATTCACATCTGAACTTCCAAATACCTATTAAAATTAGTTCTTGCCTCTCGTGACACGCCCACCAAACACGTGACAGTCACGTGGCTATTGCCTGAGGGCTAATTATAGCCCTGGTCGACTAATAATAAGCACTTGTTAGTGTTTTCTTAAGTGATTTTGACGCTTGAGTAGGAGCCCTGATCTGTCTATACATTGTGTGGTCACAGTGTAGCCGGGGAGCGTATTGAATCGGCTGCTGTGGGCGGGGTTAGCCGCCGGACAAGGATTCATCCGGCTTGTATTTTTTGTTAAGTTAAAATTACGCTTTAAGAACCATTGATTGGATAATGAGATAAGAATTATTATGAAAACACCAATAGTCATTCGTGAAATTTGATTTAAATTATTTGATTGTAAAAGAAAATAGAGGCAACTGGGGATTTTACTGAAATTCACCTCAGGGGAGCGGTGTTAACTAAAGACGTTTTTTCTCACAACAACTATAGTCTTAATAACTGAAATGTCTTATAAAATTATCATTTAAAAAATTAGTCCACATCCAAGATGACCTTAACGGAAGGTTAACATAACTTGTTACAAATTCAACACAAAACTTACAGTGACGTCAATAGAAATTTTAAGTTTGAACTAAAAGTACAAGGATTGATAATCACTCGAGTCTCTTGTTACCGTTAGTGGTAGCGGGGTCCTTTCTAACCATGTCTTATCAGTCAGTAAAATGATATTATGCGCGGATTTCATATAACTACACCGGAAACCACTTTAGTGTGGATCCTGTTAATTCTGAAACCCTTCACTCCGGATGATATATCGGGGAATTTATTCACGACCCGAAATTACTAAAAAAAACATCATTTATCAGAAGGAAAACGTACAACTTCATGGATAACAACTTCTGGTTAATTGTATATAGAGGCGTTTCGATGTAGGTTCGTACACCGTTATCAAGCTGGAGCTATAAACGGTGTAAGAATCTAACATCGAAACGTCGCCATAAGCCATACGTCAGAAGTTGTTATGCTTTAAGTTGCACGTTTTCGTACTCACTAACTTCTGGAATGTCAATCAAATAGTCACTATTTATCAGTGTGTCAGTAAACTGTGTCTACTTTGGGTATCCATATTCAACTACGGCCTACTACCACCACCACCACCACCACCACCACCACCACTACTACTACTACTACTACTACTACTACTACTACTACTACTACTTCTTCTACTACTACTACTACTACTACTACTACTACTGCTGGGCGGTCGGGTAGCCTAGTGGTTAAAACGTTCGCTCGTCACGCCGAAGACCCGGGTTCGATTCCCGACATGGGTACAATGTGTGAAGCCCATTTCTGGTGTCCCCCGCCGTGATATTGCTGGAATATTGCTAAAAGCGGCGTAAAACCATACTCACTCCACTCACTCCACTACTACTACTACTGACCGCCTCCGTGGTCTAGTGGTAGAGCGTCCGCCCGGAGAGCGGAAGGTCCGGGGTTCGATCCCCGGCCGCGTCATACCAAAAGACGTTAAAATATGGTACTTGTTGTTACCCTGTCTGGCGCTCGGCATTAAAGGACTAAAACAAGGACTGCTCGGCTCGGAGTCAGTATATAAGCGCAATAATCTTGGACGCAATAATCTTGGACGCGACGTTAAACCCAATTTCACCTCACCTCACCTCACCTCACTACTACTGCTACTACTACTACTACTTCTACTACTACTACTACTGATACTGATACTGACACCAATAATAATACCACTCCCACAGTCTATATCATCGTATGTCGTGTTGCAGGGTACACCGGTGAAGATGGAAAAAGCCGAACTACTTGAAAAGACAGTGGCCTACCTAAAAGCGCTGCGGTCGAGCGGTAAGCACATATGACTCAGAGAAATGTTTGACACGGCAGTCAAAGATGGTCCAGCTATGTTGACATGGCAGCGTCATGAAAATAATAGAACCTGGGTGAGGGAAACTGGTGATCAACAGCATGAACTGTAACCATGTTCCTTGTTTGGACTCCACTTCCATGCGACGGCCCAACAGGAACAAACGACTTGAGTTTCGATTAGACGATTATTTGTTCAAACGGTTTCTAAATACAGTATTCAGATTCTTCTCAGCCTACCGAAAGCAATGTGAAAAGTTGGAGTAGCTTTCCGACCTTAGCTCTCAGATTCTCAGCCTTTCTCCCCGACTGATATTTTTGCCCTCGTGTTGTAATCTCCCAACCTGTAACACGCCCTTTCTCGTATGATTAATGGACAGCCGAGGGTAGATTCTAGTTTTTCTCTTCTAAAACTGTTGCTTAAACCCCTGATTTATTAACCTCTACAAGGGTCCTTGCTAAAATCCTGTTTAGTTAGCACGTGATGCATCATCTTGTCCTACATCCAGCGGCCGCTTCGTGGTTTGGACCGCGCCCCCGACCCTGACCCCCTAAAATGCTATTTATTTAACTGCGACCTAATGATCCCCCGTCAGACAGAACTGGTGCTCTCTGTCAACCGTGTCGTACATAGCCCCGAGTTTTACCTCCTCTTGCCAGTACATTGGTCCCTGTCACCCAAATCCAGAAAAACTCCCTGCTTGACACATTTCGAGTTACAAACACAGATACATTTACAGTAAACTACGGTTATAACGAACTCAAAGGGACTACTAATTATATTTCGTTATAACCGTAGTTCGTTATAAGCATATACACAGCATAACTACAGCAAGTAGTCCGGACCAAAAAGTAAGTTCGTTATATCCGTCAGTTCGTTATAAGCGTGTTCGTTATAATCGTAGTTTACTGTATATACATTCATTTTTGTAGTTTACATATACAGTTCTATTCCATGTACAATCAAGTCACTTTATATTTAATTATATTAAATCAATAGTTGATTTTCTACATTCTACCACGACAAGAGCGCTTTGAAAAAGGTTCTCACCTTATTACTCAAGTTCAAGATTAAATTTCACATTCTTGACTAGTTGAAAATAACGATTACAAATAACTGTATTTATAAAAGAAATGAATGCAATAACCATCCATAAATATACATTTAATCAACATCCCATCTCGCATTGTAGGGGTGACAGGTTATATACACAGGGACAAAAACATCGCTAAACTCATTTTCTTCTCAAATCACGTATTTAATCCGATGATTGTGTAGCCATTACCCAGCTGTTTTACAGTGTGTGTGTGTGTGTGTGTGTGTGTGTGTGTGTGTGTGTGTGTTTTACTAGCGTATGGTCTGAAATATGTTTCATCATGTTTGCTAAGATTGGTTGGTTGGTTGGTTGTTTAACGCCGCAGTCGGCAATATTCCAGCTATATGACGGCATTCGTTTATTAATAAGATGCTGTTCTGATATCGAACGTGTAAATTCTAATGGGTTGTCGGCAGCCATTGTGACCGCCTCCGTGGTCTGGTGGTAGAGCGTCCGCCCGGAGAGCGGAAGGTCCGGGATTGGATCCCAGGCCGCGACCTACCTAAAGACATTAAAAGATGACACTTGTTGTTGCCCTGCCTGGCGCTGGGTATTAAGGGGTTAAAACAAGGACAAGTCGCCTCGGAGTCAGTATACTTTGTCTGAGTGGGGTATTCATGTGAAAACTGCGGCATGGTATCTCAGTGGGTGAGCACTATAAATCGGCATCGGTCCGGACTAGAACAAGAAGCCACACACACACGTGCATGCACGTCGTCTAATGAGTACAATGATCTTGGACGCGACGTTAAACCCCAGTTCACACCTCACTTCACCCAGCAGCCTTTGTTACTTGCATCGACGAGTAGGCTTTCGATAGGTCGATGTTTTCATTAGCAAGGTGTTGTATAATTTTCTTTGTTTGTTTCTTGTTTAACGACGCACTTAGCAATATTCCAGCTATATGACGGCGCTCTGTAAATAACCAAATCTTCACCAGACAATCCAGTGATTGTCATCATGAGCATCGATTTGCGCAATTGGGATACGATGTTATATATGGCAAGGCTTGTTAATTTTGAGGCGTAGAGTGACATTAGATACCCGATTGTAGTATCATATTATTCAGTCAGAATCAAGCATTCGTTAGTGTTTTTCTAGAAACGACTAACACCCCGAATCATTCTGGGATAGGTAAGGTCAACAGCAACGTATGCTTGTGGAAGGAACTGGTTTGTCTGGCCCAGACTCGAATATTAACATGGCTGGAATGGAGCGGCATTAAAACACAAACACCAGACCCACTCGCTAATACTCGTAATTCTGTTGCAGGCGTCGACTTTCGTCATTTCCGGCACCAGCAACTGCCTCGACTACAAGCGCCACGAGTAGGTGTCTACTCTCCCTACAACCTTCCGCCCATTACGGACAGAACGTCACGTCAAGATGACGCCATCACTGACGAATTCCAGCCATTGAACCTGAAGACACAGTCAGACGACGATGCCAAAGAACAGAACTCAACCTCTGGCCCTGAAGGCCTTAACCCAGGAACTCCGAAAGCGAAAGACATATCTGACATTTCCAGTGCGGGAGTGACCTTGTTCCCTGCTGCATCTGTAGAGTGTGGGAGCGATCCTCGTACTTGTGACACTTCTGTGGGGGGATACCTGCCCCCTGAGCTAGTGGTGAAGCAGGAGAGTGACACTGATCTTTCTCTATACACACTGGACCCCACTCGTTCAGGAAACTTAGTGTGGCGGCCGTGGAAGAAATTAGTTTAGTCTGCACGGGTCCTTTAGGTAGATCACCGTGACGGACAAAGTCAGCGCATTTCAACAATAAACACATTTGCCATAGGTGTAAGACTTGTGTTTGTGTACCAAAGGGATTGTCCAAACACACCAACATACGGTACAATTTTCATGTCTAGCCATTCAGGCATATACACCAGGAAAGCTCTGAGGAGCAGGAGGTTGTATATTCTCTTTGTCCTTTTCCAATTCTCTCATCAAGATGATTAATTGGGAAAGAAAATAGCAGTTCTTATATTGTAAATCTCAGTGGTCAATGTATTATGTATAAGTTTTTTATGGACATAATATTTTGAGCATCAGTAAACAAGTCTTTGAGAGGCATTTAGAAGTTAGAAGAACATGCATCACAATTTCTTTATTGTTCATGACGACGTTTCAGGGATTTTTGCACCTTCATTAGGCGAAAAATGTTGAAGCGTATTAAGTTGAACATTATACACGCTGATTTGGTTACACAAGATAGGATTAGTGTATAAAGATAACAATAAAACGAAGAAGCCAATGCCATTAACGCGAGAGAAGCCAATTATGTTGTCATCCACTGGTTTGACCGTGTGATTCAAGGTCCAGTCTTATAGTTGGAATGTCATCTCCCATTTGTCATACACCCCATTTGTCATACACCCCATTTGTCATACACCCCATTTGTCATACACCCCATTTGTCACACGGCTTAAAACAACAACTGTTATGGTTGAGGGCACATCAGGTGTGTGATATAATATTATTCCCTTAAATCCGAATACTCTAGTCCTGTCGTCAACAACTGACTGAGAACTGGTACAAAAGAAAACACAATTTATACAAATCAGTGCTTATTCTTGATGCATTATTGTTTTACACATTGGAATATATTTTAGCGATGTTTGATAGATGGAGCCTTCCAAGTTCCTCATATACCATGGAATTTGGAGTACATTTTGTTTGTGATAAAAGGATATTTTTGGAAACGCAAATGAACAGCTTCTAGTCGTTGAGATGTGTTCAAATCCCCACACTTCGGGGGGGGGGGGGGGGGGGGGGGGGGTCAAGGATTCTGAAAAGTGAGTTGTGTCCCACAGCGGATTTGAACCGACAATCTACATTTTCACACATTTTATAAACAAAAACATATTTCCAAAATTAATATAAAAACTCGGGATTATATTGATCGAAGTGCCCATATCCTGACGCGCCTTCTTATTGGCTTAGCGCAGTTTAGTGACGGCATGCGACAAGGGGACGAGCCTTGATTTACGTTACGTTACGGAATGTGAGCGCTGGGCTGATATAGCTGGGCTGTGTCGCATCATATAGAGTTGACAACGCGCAGAGAGAGTCGGGAACCAGCTAAGGATTTATTTCGTCACTGTGCCTATAAGGTAATGCTTATTTCGTATTTGTACACCGGTTGCGTTGACCTCAAAAGGAATGAAAAGAAATCGACGTTTATGACACATGACCGTCAAAAACATATTTAACCCCAAACGAATTGTCTGACATTATATTACCGTCAGAATGTACATCATTGTCGGCACTGGTGCGATTCATGACATCGTAACAGTAGGCGTCTAGCCTGGTCCAGAACGTGTCTGCAACACGTAATGCCTTGCAACAAGCAGTGGATTATATCCCTTTATGGAGAATACGCTCGGACACCGTGCACCTTGTATGCATGTACGTTTTAACAGGTATCGGTTACACCCAACTCACTCACTCCTGAAGATTCCGGGGTAGAATAGGTTTTCAGCAACCCATGCTTGCCGTAAAATCTTTAAATTTTTCATATAAAAACAGAACAACTCAGCAGAGTATATCTTGCCCCTCAGTTTACATACAGCTTAGTGGTGTACTAGTCAATATCTTGAGAATTTGGTATTAATGCTATATTACAGGATGCACAAGACCCGTGAAGATCCGGGGTAGAAAAGGTCTTCAGCAACCCATGCTTGCCGTAAAAGGCGACTATGCTTGTCGTAAAAGGCGATTAACGGGATCGGGTGGTCAGGCTCGCTGACTTGGTTGATGCATGTCATCGATCCCAATTGCGTGGATCGATGCTCATGATATTAATCACTGGATTGTCTGGTCCAGACTCGATTATTTACAGACCGCCGTCATACAGCTGGAATATTGCTGAGTGCGGCGTTAAACAACAAACCAACACACCAACCAACCACTCACTCATATATTTGTGGACGAATGTTGATATATTTGATGTATATAGACTCGAGGGCGAGATTGTATTTATATTCAATATCATTTGTAAGCATTTAATGTGATTAATTTGAAATTCGCGTTGATGTTTTTGATTACCTCAATTTGAACTAAATTGACAGAACTGACAAAAAACAAAAAAACAAACCTGAAACAAAACACTGTTATGCAGTGAAGGAATGGCTACTACACTGCGAACCAAGAAGGAACAAGAGCACCTGCGTGAAGAACTGCATGTTCCCGAGGCAAGGTAGTTAACTGACTATAGAAGTTCAGTTTCCAACCTTGCCGAACTAGGCTGGACTTGTGGAGTTATATTTGGTTGGACTAACGAGTTTATGCATAGTCCAATCAAAATCGCGTTACGAAATCGGCATCCGGTTCGTAAACTACCGGGCCGATTTCGGTCGATTGCAGGATTTGCCGAGCATGTGTACAGATATTTTCCAAATCTTTTCATGTTTTTAATCAAGGTGCTCACGTGATTGATGCACTTCGCGATTTAAGACCAGTTTTATTACAATAAAGATCTTGATTATCGATCAGATCGCCTTGACTTGGCGCCGCCATTTTGTTTGAAGCAAATGCAAGTGACATGAGAGGTTCTGATTGGTCCATAGGAGAGGCTTAGAAGGGACATAACTCGTAATAGCCAATGGTGGCGCTACGATCGAGCCCAGGAATTACAGCCTAGTTCGGCAAGTGTGGAAACTGGACTTTTAAAGTCAGTAAACTCTCTTGCCTCGGGAAGATGCCTTTGTATTCGCCCTGCGAGACCTTGCTCAATGTTACAGTTTTGCAGAGTTCCGCTGTATTTTCTGGGTCGCATTTATTACAATGTTTTAGCCAATGATCGAGACCAGGAATTGCAGCCTAGTTCGGCAAGGGTGGAAACTGGACTTTAGCCGGTTTATTTTGAGATGCCATGCCGCTGTTCAATATGGATAACTCACTCAGACACAGTATACTCCGAGCCGACGCATTGTTTGGCATGACGCAGCCTGGGATCAAATCACCGATCTTCCACTCTCAGTTTATTTTGAGATGCCATGCCGCTGTTCAATATGGATAACTCACTCAGACACAGTATACTCCGAGCCGACGCATTGTTTGGCATGACGCAGCCTGGGATCAAATCACCGATCTTCCACTCTCAGTTTATTTTGAGATGCCATGCCGCTGTTCAATATGGATAACTCACTCAGACACAGTATACTCCGAGCCGACGCATTGTTTGGCATGACGCAGCCTGGGATCAAATCACCGATCTTCCACTCTCAGTTTATTTTGAGATGCCATGCCGCTGTTCAATATGGATAACTCACTCAGACACAGTATACTCCGAGCCGACGCATTGTTTGCATGACGCAGCCTGGGATCAAATCACCGATCTTCCACTCTCAGTTTATTTTGAGATGCCATGCCGCTGTTTAATATGGATAACTCACTCAGACACAGTATACTCCGAGCCGACGCATTGTTTGCATGACGCAGCCTGGGATCAAATCACCGATCTTCCACTCTCAGTTTATTTTGAGATGCCATGCCGCTGTTCAATATGGATAACTCACTCAGACACAGTATACTCCGAGCCGACGCATTGTTTGGCATGACGCAGCCTGGGATCAAATCACCGATCTTCCACTCTCAGTTTATTTTGAGATGCCATGCCGCTGTTCAATATGGATAACTCACTCAGACACAGTATACTCCGAGCCGACGCATTGTTTGCATGACGCAGCCTGGGATCAAATCACCGATCTTCCACTCTCAGTTTATTTTGAGATGCCATGCCGCTGTTCAATATGGATAACTCACTCAGACACAGTATACTCCGAGCCGACGTATTGTTTGGCATGACGCAGCCTGGGATCAAATCACCGATCTTCCAGTCTCAGGGCAGACACTATATCCACTGGACCACCTAGGCTTTCGCATGTGTCATAGACTATCGTGGCCTATTTTCGAAACTATCGTAGCCCTACGATATCGAAAGATTGATTGTCATAAATCTAAGATAGCTCCATACCTGTCGTAAGTTTATTTTAACTTCATCCATGATGGCGGCATACTTTTCCTTAGATATTTTTCAAACAAATAATCTGCTTTACGTTCAAGCATTGATATGTCATTTAGTTAAACTGTGTGATTCAAATTTACACTTCGAAAACACGAAGAACGCATCAAAGATTTCATGTCAGAAATGTTCTCAATCGCGACAGGGATCCACATAACTATGGAGTAGCTTACGATATATTTTTATCCAAATCCATGCTGACGAAGTGTGAAACAACATACATTTTCGATAATTTGGGAAGGATTAAAACGGAAGGTGTCGGCTGGCTATAGAGATGACAGTGACCTTATTGATAACTCAAGGGCAGCTAATCTAAGTTCATACTCTAACTGAGAGTGGTTTCTCTTTGTATTCACCCGGCGAGACCTTGCTCAATGTTACAGTTTTCATCAAGCGCAGAGTTCCGCTGTTGTATTTTCTGGGTCGCATTTGAAACAACGTTTTAGTCTTTATTTACGCAAATTATATCAATCTACATATGTGACGAAGTGCAAAACCATAAGCGTTCTGCATCAGGTTTTACATCTTAAATGGTGTGGGACGAGCGGTTTTAACAACTGAATATAACTATACAGTGTAGTACTTATTGATTTAACAAGGAAATACATGTGATCAAAGATGTGAATAGTATATCAATTTGTAGAAAGAGTATATTTTATTTTTTTCTTGCAAAAGTAATTGTATTTTGTTTCGTTTTTAAACCAACAGGTTATCTATATTATTGAAAGACAAATATTTGATAAC